CCCTCATCAACTTTACCATTCCTTACGTAACCGACGCAAAAACAAAGCGTTTTTGTTGAAAAACGTCAGCATATCGTAAGGGTAAAATGTTTTTGAAATACTCGGTGACTCAGGAAGAGTTTGTTAATTTTTTTCTCCTTTCTTACATTAGTAGAAAATATAAAATGTCTTATATATTTGAAATAAATATAACAAAAAATAATGGTGGACAAGAAACGTCGCATGTATTTTTTTTTTAATTTTGACGACAATAGACAAACCATAATACAAAGAGCGATAACATTTTTAAAATGCTACTCAAGTAAAAAAATGTAATTTTTTTTTCGTTATTCATACTTGTTAATTTCTTCTTTACAGAACACAAAAAGCTCACCAAAAGTCAAAACTATACTTAACAAAAAGCTTTTTTTACTTAATAAACTCTACATAAAGTAATATAGTTTTTTTTTAGTAGAGACAAAAAACTGCGAAATACAGGACAGCGTAATTTACCTACCTCGTGGCAGAAACGAGTCCTGCCTCTGTACACAATCCTTAGTAAACAACTTCGCTTAATTAAGATTGGACAATGTAATTTTGTTGTTTGCTACAAATTGTAAGGAAGAGCAGTTTCTGGTTTTTAATATATATTAATATCTGTCTTAAAGTACGCATGAAGTGTAAAAATGTTAGTTAAATTAATTCTTATAATATGAGACATATGTCAACAGCTGCCTACCCTTTTCATCCCGGAGGATTGCCACAATTCATTTCACCCCCACATATGTCTCTTAATTTAGTATGCATCTTGAAAATATAGTTTTTACTCATGACTAGAGTTTGTGGGGGAATCTCTAGTATTTCTCTACTTGGTTAATCTCTTATAACTTGAAGCTGATCCGTTACACGATAAGCTGTTACAACTCGTGCCTATTTGAAATTTAAACAAAGACTGTTTAACTTTTAAGAGTGCTAAAGTATGTTAAAAACGAGCATGCTAAAAATAGATTCTCGGAATAGGAAGTTTTCGAAAATCGAAAATCATTGTATCTTTGTTTTATTTTAGTTGAATTTAATCTAAAAGTCGGCAATTTTCTTCGTTTGCTCGAGACTGTAGTAAATCGTCCATGAGTCTTCAATATTTAGTAATAATTTAAAATGTACAGCTAATTTCTCTCCGATTACTCATTGAAGTCGTCAATAAATTTCAAACGATCCATCAACTTTATGCCTCATTAAGCAGAAAGGAAAATTGAAAGTTATTTTATTTTCATTTAGGTAAGTTTTTCAGACGGAATTTTCTCTTTACGTATTTTAATTTCTTTTAAAATACATAAAATGTGTTAAGAAATTTTTACTTTGTTGTGTTCCATTTATGATAAAAAAAAGACTTGAATTTACGTTACTAAAAATAAAAGAGGTTAAAATAGTTTGTTAAATTGAGTTTAAAAAGTGTATTTGCTTTTGTATTAGACAATATATCTTCATTTACGATAGTAAAAACGCAAACCAAGCCTATCCAAGATTTAAAAACTAAAGTAAAGAACAATTTTAATATTCGAGTTTTCATCGCCACGTAGCGTCACGTTCTCAACGAGGCCGTAAAGAAGCAATTAATTTGAATAAACACGACCCGAAAAAGACAAAAAAAAAACGAGACTGTTACTTAAATGTTCCATTTTAACTTCTCTCTTTGTTTTATCGTTATGCGATCGTTAATGGCGTTTTAATATCTCGTTTGCACATCGTTGGGACTTCCCCGTATCATTTTACAAATGCTATTTGAATACCAAATTTTATGGCTGCAACAGTCCCGTCCAGAGAGCTTACATTACCCTCTAAAAATATCAAATATCCTCAAGAATAATAACATCCATAATATCCCATCTGATATGCTAAAATAATATTTAACATCAAAACAGTTCACAGTAGTAACTCCTAAGGACTTAGTTTATTATTACAATCCAAAACGCAGTTCTTGATACAGATATACATTTAATAAACTTAAAACACAAGACTAAAAAGGATAACTCGAGTCATTCCAAAAATAAACGCCATCCACACGATTGCGAGCAAAAAGACGCGGCATCCGCGCATCGGGTTTAGATGGCACAGCTGCTCTGTTCCAGAGGTATCGATTGCAAAAAGTACACGCAAACAGAGTTAGAGCGTTGTGCACACAGGCCCTTGTTAACGGTTAGAGTTACGTTTTTCCGAGGCTTTAGGCGCATCGTATCGCTACGAATCGTTTGTCGTTTGTAAAGCTTAGAGAAAAGAATTTCTATAACTCATGTTCAAATCATCAAAGAAGTTTTCATGTTTTATTAGTCTTTATTAAACCAAAGCATATAAGAACGAATTAAGAGATCTAATTCAAATAATCATAGTCAAGGAAATAATAAATTTACAATAATTTAAACGAGATTAACCGTAAAAGTTTGTAAGATAAATAGTTCTATTATTTTTATTATTTAAAATACCTTCACTTTACTTGTACTTGTGATATAGTGCCACACAAGAAAGGAAATACATATTTGTATGCAATATTAGTGAAACACTGCCTTTATTTCTCCCTATGTCGATTCAAATGCAAGCAACAAGAGGAACTCGTTACTGCGACGGATTACTTGGAATCGCGGCGCACTGAAATTTAGACCAATTGTTGATTTCTTTTTTCATAAAAGATTTTACATGAAGGACATTTTGAAAATTGTTTTTCAATTACAGACATTGGAACTTAATAAAAATATACGATCCATGAAAATAATAATTAATAATTGTTCGTTTATTATTTAGTTACTAGTAATGAATATAGAGTTAATTGTAGTCATAACACTAAAATGGTATAACGCAGTTGACGAAAGACAATTACTTCACTTATTACGAGAAAAACGGCTTTCTTTTGTTTATGAAGTAAATTTTAAGCATTACAAGGCGGTAAAAGCAGTAATAATTAGAACAGGGAACGTAATGACGAGAATTTTTAAGCTATCCATAATTCAAACAACGTGCGCAGTGACAGCTTGTCAAGCGCTAACCTCCTTTTGTGTGACACTATTTTAATAAGCGTTGACAGTTTCCGCAACTAAATTTACTTCAGTCCCATATTCATTAGGTTTAGGAATATATTTTATAGTCGTGTAATTGATATTAGCTTTTTTATTTTTTTAAAAGACTGTAGCTGCATACTATTTTAAAAGTTTAATGAATGTTGCACTTTAGCTCCACACTCTTACGATAAATTATTTTGCCGCTGCTGGTTTTGTTGTACGTAATAATTTATACAAAATCAACACACTAGAAGCTACAATTATCGTAATAGTTAACGAGATAATTTAGAGTGGAGCGCTTCCTCAGCATCGTCCGGATGTTTACCGCGCGGACCGCGAGCACGTGGCGAGGACAGAAATAACAGCCCGGATAAGTGCGCGTGCCCGAGAACGCATGCACGTGAGATGCTGTTCGATGATTTGTCTTCAGATAATTATACAAACAATTAATAAACATACTGTAATCCGCACTCAGAGTCTTACGGAGTAGAACCTCTTAGTGTATTTATGAGATTTCTACAGTATCTCCATTAAAGACCAATTAGCAACTCTGGGTTAAGCATTACGATAATAAAATAACCATATTTAGTGGTATATGTTATACGGAGTTTAAAGAATCAAACTATGTCGGAAAAATTCTGGAATAGAGAAATGTAAATTTTATGTAAAGATGCCATTTTAAAACGCAGTAGTGCAGTTAGATTTTCAGTCGACGCAAACTTTTTCTCAGTTTAGCTTTACAAATAAAATTGCTCATAAACATTTTCTATACTTCGTTTGCTTGCGTCATAATTTTGTTAATTTGTTTCTGGGTAAATATGCAACTCCAGAAATTGCCGATAATTTTAACATTTAGAAAATGACTGCTAGATCTAGATAAAAATCTTATATACTGATAGTTCTTCCAATTCCTTTTCTTTGGTTAACGTTAAGGGATTCATTTCTGTGTGACTGTTAATAGTATTCTTCAGCGTTTTCTTCCTTTTCAGTTATTGCTTTGGATTTCATCTTTAGAAAACTGCAAAAATAAAACTGAATATAGCGTTATTTTTATTTAAAGTACAAGTAAAGTACCATGTCTTCCGAACTGGAACAAATTGTTTCGTACAAATGTGTGCCATTTAAAACAATATTTCATCAGAACGTAAGATATAAATTCCCAACAGTGAAGTAATGACAATAAAGAGACCATCTCTGATTTAACCGCAGAATACATGAATGAGATCATAGAAAAGGTTAAAATTAAAAACATAATTAAGACATCTGTACTACCAGGAACAGAAGTGATTTATAGCGAACTCAGAACAGATACTAATGAAATAGAACAACATGTACAAGTATAATGTAAAGTGTTCGCAAGTGTGTTAGCTTTGCAGTATCTCTGTTATGTTCTCCCCTCTGCTTCGCATTCTGTAATATTTCGGTACTAGATGGGTGCGACAGTTTGGAATCGGTCCAGTCGCGCGCGCGCCTGCGTTTAGGTCGCGGTATACTGGTCATATTGGATGCCTGGTCTCATAACAAAAATATGCGTGAAAAAATAGTTTATTGATTACATAAAAGTGATCGGACTTGAGACAATAATCGCCAGTTAATGTGCAGTTAGTTCGGAAATGTCGTAGAAGTATGTTTATTTTGTTTTGGAAAGTGACGATAATTGCTTTGAGTTTGTTAAGTGTTTTCTAGTACTGTGATATTGTTTTGACAATTTTCGGTAAATTTAAATAAGTTTAGAAGTACAAAATAAAAACCAAAACTGTGTGATTTAGCAGTATTAATAAGATACTTAGCCAAATTGTGAATTTCTTTTAAGTACATAAGAATTTTTTAGTTATTACGAAAATTCAATTCGGAATATTTTCCGAGTGTCGTGTCAGGTTCAAGCGTGACTCACGTCCACGTCCAAAGGCAATAAAACCAAAGAGCAAAACGAAACAATAAAATCCATACTATTCTGAGACCGTGGGCTGAAAAGCGAGCAATTCGACGGACATAAACAAAATGGCTTCGACCCGGCACGCGACACCATTTATAAGCCACGGTGTGTTTATTTTTGTTGCTGTCTCTCTCATATTACCGATGGTGAACGAAGGTGATGCGAAGATATACGACAACACACGAAACTTCGCGAATGAGGAGAAGAGGTTGACGAGAGAATATCACCTGCGGCAAGGCGCACTGCGGGGTCTGATAGTGAAACCGGGTCGTCAGTACGACCTGCAGCAAGTGGAAATGTTCTTAGGTATACCCTACGCCGCTGCTCCGGTTGGATCCTTGAGGTTTATGCCTCCAGGTAAATGCTTATCACGGTCATCTTAAGTGATTTCTGTCATAGTGAGGGACACAACTTCGTATCAAAGGCAAATAATTATAACACAACTATTCTTAATATTGAGATCATAAAGAATATGTAGATATATCGAGCTAGCTAGATATAGACAGAATTTTTAAAGTTAGGGCATAGAAGGAAGACATGGAAACAAGAGAAGGGAATAGAGACAAAGGCACTCACTCATTGCTTAGTAAAAAACGCGAGGTCGCTTCGTTCGTTGGTGCGGATAAATAAAACAGAAAATTATTTTAAATAAATACAAGATTTGTTCAATTTTTCCTTAAATTTCCCTACATTAATAAAACCATTAATATACAAAAAAGTCCTGAATAAACAAGAAACAATCGCGTAGAATATTCTTCATCACGTTTAGGAAATAAAAGGCAAAAATTAAACATTTAACAAGGCTTAAAATATCAAAAAATAATGAAAGTATGCTTACTAAAAAGTCGTTTGGACTAGACACCAGAAAAAATTTACATAGAGATGAAAAGTAAACTCAGACCTCTGAATAATAATGGCATTGGAATTGTAAAATACGTCTGATTTTTATGTGAAGTAGACATTGCTTTACACAATATTGTATAAAGTTAAAAAAGTACAAAAAAAAACAAAGCTTTGACGGAAATGTTTGTTTTGTAACACAACAAAAAACAAATGATCATTTAAATATTGTAATTCAAAGCATTACGTCATCATCAGCTCACTATACGTCCCCACCGAGGGGCTCGGAGTCTACCCTAAGTTAAGGGTGATTAGGCCATAGTCAACAACGCTGGCCAAGTACGGGTTGGTTGACATCACACGTACCTTTGAATTTCTTCTCAGATATGTGCAGGTTGCATCACGATGTTTTCCTTCAACGTAAGAACGTCGGATAAACGTACATATGTGAATCGGAAATCGAAAAACACATTGGTACATGGCGGGATTCGAACCCGGGACCTGCAGATTGCAAGTCAAGTGCTTGACCACTGAGCAACCGACGCACAAAGCATTACGTAAAATCATTTAATTCGATAATAACAGAACTAACACAAGGGTCTTTAACTATCTATAGTTCTCCAAAGAAAATGAGAGTTTCTTTGATTAGGAATTAACAACCTATATGAATTCTTGTGTACGTTTTAATATTGTTTTTAAACTGGTGTCACTCTTTCTTCTTGTTATTTAAACAAATCATACATGAATGATTCTCGAGAATATCAAACGTAGATTATTATTGTTACACATATTTCAAAACAGATCAATAGAAAAAAATAAACGTTAGTCATTAATATTTATTTTTATTAGAAACTTCTATTGAACTCTATCATACTTTAGTGCATATCTAACGACCAGAGTAGTAGTTCGTTTGTTTTAAAGCAATTATCTGCTGTTGTATAATTTTGCTATTCAAATATCAACTCTATCTACAAATAGATAAAGTTAAAAATACAATTATTGTTATTGCAGTAAGTGCGCCACCTTGGTCAGGCATCAAAATGGCCACTCGTTTCGCGCCGGTGTGTCCACAATCATTGCCAGTGATAAAGAAAGGAGATCCACCATCACTAGGAAGGCAGAATTACATGAACAAACTGAAACAATTCCTTAAAGATGAGTCAGAAGATTGTCTATATTTAAATATTTACGTTCCTTATAGAGGTAAGTGTTTTTTTTAATTTTGTACCTAAAAAAATGCCGTCTGATAATTACATGTTCATGTACACACTGTTTCATACATTTCTATCAGCCATTTTGTTTGAAAGCACTCCCTTATCCCTATCTTTTCTTTCACAACAGTCCATTTTAGTTACTGAATGAAATTCTCTACCTAAAAATTAATTTCCTTTACTAATTTTAATTTTGTAGGAGTTGGAATAATTAATTTAATGTCTAGTTTAGCTTCATAATGTTAGGAAGAAAATCCGACACTGTGCCGGTGTACTGGCACAACACAAGCCTTACTAAAATGTCGACAACTATGTCCCCTCACTAATAATTCTGACACTTGACTTTGCAATGTAAGCGCGCTATTCGCGCCAAAGCATTGTAATTAATCATCATCATCATCATCATCATCAGCTCACTATACGTCCCCATCGAGGGGTCGGAGTCTACTCTAAGTTAAGGGTGATTAGGCCATAGTCAACCACGCTGGACAAGTGCGGGTTGGTTGGCTTCAAACATGTTGTTGAATTTCTTCTCAGATATGTGCAGCTTGCATCACGATGTTTTCTTTCACCGTAAGAACGTCGGATAAATGGACATATGGAAATCGGAAATCGAAAAACACATTGGTACATGGCGGGATTCGAACCCAAGACCTGCAGATTGCAAGTCAAGTGCTGGACCCCTGAGCCACAGACGCTGTAATTAATGATGTCTAAAAATAATTACTACATAATGTTTTACTAGTTTTTCGTAACATATGAAAGTAGTAATTGAATGAAACTTACACTGAAGTCTCGTCAAACATTCCGAAGTAGGTCATTTGTGAAAATAAATGCTATGTGCAAGTCACTCGTTGGTTCGCTTGAAATTCAAGCAGCCTAATAAGCCATGTCCTAGTGGAAAATTTGCATGCAACGAATGAAACTTATTTAAAAAAATACGCTTCATTTTTATTTCTACAAAATGTGTAATATTTTAAATTAATATCATAGTGAAGACGTGAGCAAAATAAACATATCAACGTACTTTCAAGTAAAATACATACTACTGACAGATTTAATGTTTATTCTTGTGTCATACAATAATACAAAGAGAACAAAAAAATGTTATAGAGCGGACATTCCAAACATTTCCTTACAAACTCTTTAAGCATTCACGGACACTGCCCGCTGCTTACTTGTAGTTAATTCTATAATACTTCTCACTAATATTATAAATTTGAAAGTTTCGATGGATGGATGTTTGTTAGGAGGTATCTCCAGAACGGATCAACGGATCTTGATGAAATTTGGCATAGATGTAGAACACTGTGTGATCACATAGGTTACTTATTAAGTTTTGTTTTTAATTCCGCGCGGAGTGAGTCGCAGGCAAAAGCTAGTGTTAGCTAATCAATGAAAAGTATGAAATTTCGTAACAAAAATTATAAAACAAAACAAAAATTATTTAAACCTTTATAGATAAATCTTCCATTATATCATGTTTATTTGTTTACCTTTTTAATTTAGATGCAAATATTTCAGCAATACCCGGCATCGCTAATGTTTTTTTTTTGTATTGGACAAACAAAGCTATAAAAAACAGTGCGATGGATCCGGCAACCCAATTTCTAGAGTAAATACACGCCAATCAATCTTTCTGTTGTTCCACCGAAACTCTATTTCTTAAAATAGAATAAATATTTATGTTGTAAATAAGGTATGAAGTGAATTATTTTCTTTCACCTCAATTTTATTGAAGTACTCACCTTTCTTAGATTTCTTCTTAGGCTAAATACAAAAAAACTTGCCACGAACTTAGATTTGTGGGCCTTACGTTTCTATACAATATTAAATAAATTAAGTTTAAATTACTTTACAATACCATGCTAAGATATTTAAGAATGAGGAATGCGAAAGGATTTTAGAAAGTTATAGTATATATTTTTATAGAATAACGTGGCAAACGAGCGAGCGGCCTGAACCTGAAATCGCTGAAATAGCGAAGTGACCGTTGCCCATAGACATACGCAATTGCATATGCGTTGCCTACCTTTAAACGATGAAGAGGATGCACAGAAAGAAAAATTTCGTTTCAATTTCAAACATGACTAATTCAATCTATCGATTTTCGAATAAATACATATAAATTTAGCAAGTTTCACCATAAAGTACACATTAAAATAGTTGAGTATTACGAATCTTGTTCAAATTCAAACTGTGACTCTTAAAATTCTTAAGTGTAACAAATTAGACAAAAATACGCAGATTTAAAATATTTTTCACTACAAATGCTACATAAATTCGTGTTTGTATCCATTTTGTTGAAACATGTCACCAAACTAGAGTACACATGCCAACGACTGTCAACGACGGACCATAATCCAGAAATCTAAAATTAGAGCCGGACTAGTTAAAAATTGGCGCTAATGAATAAAACATTTTACTATTGGAATGGAATTATGAAATGTGTGTTTATATAATTGCTTACTTATTTATAATAACCTACCTAATTTTTTTTTAAATATTAGTAGATTTTTAGTAAATTTACTAATATATCTTTTACCATTCCAACTAAGCTCTAAGCTTGTGCTAGGATATGGTTTACGACAATAGTCGAATGGCGGGATTCAAACCCCATACCTTGTGATCGGAAATCCGTACCCTTAACCATTAGGCTATTGGCGCTTTGATATAAAAAAAAATATTGTATGTGTTTTCCTTATGCATTCCGATCGCTCGGTCGGTTTATCCGTTTTGAAGATATGTGATAACATCAAAACTTTAGCATTTTTAATATTAGTAAGATGTCAATTGTATTTGGTACGCAAAATATTTACGTACATATGTATATCTGAATCTCATTTGGTTTCATTAATTTTACACAGCGCATGTCACGTTGCTATTTTGCGGCCAACTGCTCAACATCGTTATTTGAACGGAGAATTGAGATTGAACTAATTGACAGTATGCCTTGTCGTATTTATTTTTAGAGTAACTGTAGCTAACGGCAGCGAAAGCGAACCGGAAGCGAAGCGAAACGTTAAGCTCAGAGCACACCGAAATACGAATACAGAGAGAAAACGCAACAAAGAGTTTTACATTAAATTGGGTTTCGCATTAAGATTACTTTTGTTTGATAAGCAGGGTCACTGCAAATAATTAAATCAATTTAATTTCTAATGTTTCGCGTCGCGGTGCCCTTTTGCTTCTCCTGTTGTTTATAACGAGCGTAAAAGAAAGCATGATTTTATCCAAAACATAGCTAGGAAGCTTAATAAAGTAAGGCACATCTATAATTACCTATATCTATGTTATGATGTAACTTTCAGATAGCATCTTATATTTTTATAGCATTCAAATATATCACATTATAAGTTTTTAATTAGAAGTAAAGTAAAGCTAATTCCACACCCACGTGTGGGCAAACGACTTCTTGAGAATGAGGGCACGTCCACCGCACTATTAGTGCCATTTGGCAGATGTGATAGTTCTCGAAATATTTCTCAGATTTGCAGGTAAAATACCCACAATTTCCCTATTAATCTACCAGGATTATTAAACTCAGACTTAACATTAATGAATAAAAATCTATGTTTTATGTGATGGCTGTCGCCCGCGATTCTGATCGTGCGGAATAAAAAAAAAAACGTGTTCTTCCAGACTATGTTTTATATTTATGCCTAATTTCATCGAGGTCCATTGATCCCTTCTGGATATACCTTCTAAAAATCATCCATCGAACCATCTAAAAATTCGCATTTATAACATTAGAAATGTAAAATATATATTTGGTACCGGGAAGACGTATTTTTAAATAAAATTACGGATATAAAAGGCGGACGAAGTCGCGGAATTATATTTCCCTTGTATAAAATTCCTAGATATTTTTTCCGTTCTGATTCGATCCGCACACTTCAAAGTAACTAACTAAAGTAGCACGACCACAGCACTATAGTTTAAATGATTAAAAATTTTTCTAAAGATAAACGGCCGTGTTCCTTTATTACCCCACTTACAAAACTTGTTAAGAGCGACATCTATTTTCGCCCGCGTTAAGAATTTGGACACACGACCGCGACGGAAATGTTTATAAATAGACAGGGAAACATGTGAATCGATCTATACATTGGCGCCACAAAATACTTTAACAGCTCTCCTATATTTATGATACAAATAAACTATTATTATAGTTGTTACTCAAGATACGTTGACTGATATTAACTAACACTAAAATGAATTACACGTAAATTTTATTTAGATGTACTATATCTTACTAATATGATGTCTGAATAGATGGAAGGATGTTGCTAAAATTTGGCATAGATATAGAACAATCTGGAAGACCACATAGAATATTTTCATTCCGCGCAGACGAAGTCGCGAGCGACAGCCAGTTCTTGATACTTAGAAACTTTGAAACAGTGTTAAAACTATTACAAATGATAAGTGTCCGACATAATTAACGTTACTTTCCTATTCCGTATGAAAGATCGGCATATGACGTATAAGCTACTCTTCTACGTGTCTATTAGCCCTTATATCTAAATTCTTTCCTTTTTTACGTATATTCTCTTACATTTTATCCATATTTTCTTATGTCTTCTTTTATCTTTGTATCATCCACACACAAAACTGACATTAATATATTTAGAACTAGATGTCGCCGCGACTCCGTTCGCGCAGAATTATATAAAAACTAAATGAGTAATTTTTGTGGTCTTACACACTATGTTCTATATCTATGCCAAATTTCATCGTTATCTGTTCAGCCGTTTTAGAGATACCTTCAAACATTCATCCATACATCTAAACATTTGCATTTATTAGTAAGAAGTAAGATTACCTTTTTCATATAACGATAACACTATTATTATTTATATATTCATAATGTTATTTATTACAGTAGAACAAAATTGTTAATTCAATATATCATGCAAGTTGAATCGTATCCAAAAGGTAGGTCGGAAGTTAGCCATAAATCGTATATGGAAGCGAATTTTCTATTTAGCTGCCCGCGTACAATGGAAGCTTTGAACAAAAGCTTAGCTACAATAAAAGCTATGGGCAAAGCGAGCGCCTTTCAATTGTTATTGTTATCACAAAATGTACACTTTTTCAATTTCACCCACGTGTCTATAATGTCAATCAACACGTTACATGCGATCTTTTTTATTTTTTATTAATATTGGAAAATATTGTTGACTTTAAAATTATTGTTTGTTCTGGAATCAATTGTTATTTCGAATAAAATCGTTCAGATTTCGAGTCAATCTTGATTAATCGCGACATTTCTACTTAACATTTTTAATCCGAAGGTCGATCGACTAATGTTTTTAACGACAGAATATATATATCAGTAGTTAAATACTCAGATTTTTTAAGTTAGAATTTGATTATTTGAATTAATAACATTGAAATTATCGATACTAAGAACCATGCGTTTGTTCATTTGTATAAAAATCAAATTTTCGATTTTATTTTCAAACAGTAATGAATACTTCCGCGCTACGTAGTTTTAAAATACAATGAACTAGAAAAGCAGCATCTGTTGGTGAATAGTGAAATTATTAACTGGTGACTGATACAAAATATTTGTTGTAATTCAAATTTACAACAACAGATGGCATTGTTTTTCATAAAAAATTCAAAATTAAATTTATATTTTATATTTCATATTGATATTTTAAAAATAACCCAATTTTTTTTACAATAAAAATGTTGTTTCCTTTTATGTTTTTAAAAATAACAAATCTGTAAACAAAATAAATTGCTAATCAAATATAGTTAACTGCCATCTAGGGACAAATAGCAACATATTTAAATCTAATCATTTTTGAAAATTCAATGAAAACCTTAAGCATCACATAGATGGCGTTGTTCTTAAAATATAACTTTCGTGTGATTTGAAAGCAAAAAACCAAAGTTGATGGTGCCACTGATAATGTCATATTTTTGCTGGTGCGAAAATATGTAATGTATGTCACAAACTATAATAATATATTCCGTAAACTGTATTTTCTCATTTCAAACATGTTCAATTATATTTACTATCAATATCAGACATTCCAATTTTTACTAAAGAACAGTAACCTTGAAAATAAACAATTTATCACAATGATTTAATTTTGAAAATTTATAAATGATTATTGAATTGAATCGGACAGCTTCAGTCGGGGTTAAAGCATTGTTATATCAAACTAGAACCATAACTCCGAGTGGCGAGTTTCATTCAAACGCGCCTTTGATCTTCTCTAAACAATCAAACCACAAAATGCATTAGCAAGGAATCCTTTTAACTCGTGTAATTATACACAATAGCTTCATTACGTGTTACATGTTTTATTATTGAATGAATCAAAAATAAACATGAACACTAACAGAAATAACTGAGTATTTTAACTGGACACAAACAAAAAACTACATTTGTCATACAGTTTTCATTCTTCCCGTTCTACCCGATCCATTTGTTTGCATGGTACCTATAGTAGGAGTTAGATTACGTGCAAACAGATGATATTCTATACAATGATTAAACTAACACATATAAATAAGTTGTACAAACACACTTGCACATCAGCCGGAATACGAACACATACACGCACACTAACTGTAACTTTCAATAGCATTTCCATAAATTCTTAAAATTGTCTTTTCGTAACAAATTATTTGTAATATTATATAAATTTCAATTAAATATTCTGTGGTTTTTGGTTCCGTACAACAGATGATCCATCACCCAGGGTACCCTAGTTTACACATCAATCCCCTGCCCGTATGGGAAAAGCAGTAAAGTTATTAAATTTTTTATTTATATTCGAGTTAAGGATCGATGTCTACGTCGCTTTCGGGTCTTCTATTGAAAGTTGCATTCCTAAACACGATTGAATGATATTGTAAATCCAATTCCAATCATTATTAAGGTTGACCGACGTATAATCAAATATTTATATAAGACAAACATTGGAGTAAAGTTCATCAAGCATTCCGACTATCGGACGTTCGGTGAAACTTCTCCACTTTGCAACCGATACAAATAGCGGTCAATTTACTTCGCCGCTAAATTTACCTCATAAGAAACGTTTTCCGGCCAAATGGAGGGACCGTAATAGATGCCCGTAATGGAGGCTCCCCATTTATTTGACTTATGCCAACTCAGCTCTTCTTATATGAGTAAAGTTACATCATCTAACTTTTATTTGCTTAGTTCCTAACTCTGACAATTTATTTTATATCGGGTAAAACTTTTATATGTGGACAATCCCATGTTTTTTTTTCACACGTCGGTTCACTTCTCAATCAAAAGCTCCACAAGTTATATAGCTAAAAGTTTGTACGTTTTATAAAAATAGTTATTTTATATGTTAATTATATAAAAATGCAAACGTATCATATTCTAAAATTAAAAGTTATAATTATTTTTCTTCTCAGAACAAAAATCAAAGAAATTCCCCGTGCTAGTGTTTATACACGGCGACTCCTTTGAATGGAGTTCAGGGAACCCTTACGACGGCAGAATACTTGCCGCATACGGCAATATTATGGTTATCACTGTCAACTATCGTCTCGGAATACTAGGTGGGTATTTTAATGTATGAGTTTCCACTGCCAAAACTTATTCTCATTGTTGCATACATACGAGAAACATCAGTGTTGGAGATACATTACTCCGATCTCAGACCTTAAATTCAGAACTAAAGTTTATACCAAGTCACTAATTAGACGAAATACAAAATTATTGAACTTTATGTCTGTGTTATTTTGGTTGCTGCTACTTCTAATAAGAATAATAAAGTCTTTGTTATTTCCAGGTTTCGTAAAGCCAAGTCTCACTGAGCACGAGTACGGGAACAATGGTCTGCTCGACCAGCTAGCTGCGCTCAAGTGGATCAAGGACAACATCGAGGACCTAAGCGGTGACCCTGACTCCGTCACACTGATGGGACACGGCACTGGTGCTGCCTGCGTCAACTTTCTCATGCTCTCACCCATTTCTAACGGTAAATATTGAAGTTAGGAGGAAAAAGCTAGTGCTGGATTAAATTTCAATATATTAAGACATAAAAATACAATTCGTAATAATATTGTGGAGATTTCTAGTTTTTGTACTGCTTTTCAGCCAGTTGTAATTAATATAGCGATTAAAGAGTTTAGAGTTCAATAGTTAAAGCATGGATTAGAAAATATAGAAGCATTTTAGAATTCCAATGTCAAACGGACTAATGCAGGTTGACGATGATATAACTGTTTACAGCGTTGTTCCACCGAGCGATCCTGATGTCGGGTTCGGCGCTGTCAGACTGGGCGATGACTCGGGACCCCGCGCAGTACACGCTGCAAGTCGCTCAAGGCCTCGGCTGCAACCCCACCTCTAAGCACATGATGACGTGCTTGCAGAACAAACCGTAAGTAGTCGTTGTACTTATAAAAATATTATTATTTTAGCCAATTCAGTGCTTATCTGACCCAAATTCAACCATTTTTAGGCTTATTAAAATTTATTCTTTTCTTAACGCTATTACAAGCTTTTATGATTGAAAGCTAACCTTGAAGCGATATCACTTTTATATTATTTATTATTATTTTAAGATCGTTGTTCTATAGTTAGGTAAGATATGGAGTAGATATGCTTCGTAACATCGTAACCTAACTATAAGAATCAGAGCTCGACATAAATTATGCATTAGCCGACGAACACTCCGCCTTCCTTTGTGGTAAGATTTGTGAGACATCTCACAGCTTCGTATAAATTTGGAGATGTACATAATTTGTTCCTTATGCCCTAACTAAAGAATTGAAGCGTAGCTAAGAAAAAAATATGTTCTATTTCTACCGCATAGATTTATTGTAATTAGGGTGAAGGGTAATATTGTGCTCCATGCATCTGCGAAATAATCCAAAAATTTGTTTGGATATCCAAGTCACAGGTTCAGCGTGGTTGAGCCCCTCGGTTGGGAAGTAATATCGTATAATCTAACGATATTTGAAAATGATTCATCTATTATTTCTAGATAACACATTGCCGATCTTGAAATAGTTTCTTTCAATAAATTTGTGTAATATTTTTTCTCTTTCAGTTTATCTGATATAAAGAAAGTACAAATCCTGGCTCGAGAATTCGAAACGCCGCTCGGTCCTAGCGTCGCCGGATATTTCGTGCCCAATGAACCGGAGAAAACAATGCAATCATTTCCCAATTTACTAAGCAAGTGAGAATTATAACTTTTTTCTTCAATATTTCAATTTAAAAGTTAGTACGCTGCGATCAGAATCACTTCATTTTCTTCATTTCCTTTTAATAAAGGTACAAAAGAACAATTTTTATATGCTGTAGATTGTAGATGTATATTTGAAGAATATTATCATAGCATATTTGAATTAAGCTTTCTTTTTTCTTGCTCTTCATAAAACTTTAAATATATAAATAAAACAGTTCATATAACTCGACATAAACTTTTTCAGATATCAATTACTAAGTGGTGTAACAGAATTAGAGAGCTACCATGACTTTGGTGTCATAGAATTAGACTCTGGGATTTTGGAAAATCAAAGAGATGACTTCATAAAGAAATATATGAAAATAACTTTTGAAGGTGCCGAACAAGAAGCAGTTAAAGATATACTTAAACAGTAAGTATGATTTGTTTCTAATATAGTTAGAACTGGTATTTCTGGAAGAGAAAGTAATACTGAGATTATGGGACCAGGAAGTGGATTTGGAGAGGAAGACGATATATAAAAAAGATTTAAAGTATCCCTTGTCTGTTCATTATCTCCTCTGCCAAAGGTTCATCGATTCTGTCTTCTTGTAACGCGTTGCAAATGTTTCTGAGCATAGGTTACTTCAGTGTGGTTGTTTCAGTGAAGCCCTGTGATCGCTGTTTGCTCGTTTGCCAACTTCTGTAATAAAAAGAAGAAAGTTGTATATCTTTTTCTCTATCATTCCAGATACTCCAAGTCAAAGGCGGACCCGCAACGTTGGAATGTGGACACGAATCGTGACGTCATACTTGATTTGTTCAGTGACGCGAGGACATTAGCTCCCATGATCAGTTTTGCGAATTACCAGTCAAAAGCCAATCGACAATCGTACTTCTATGTGTTTGGACATAATTCTATAAGTACAGAGTACGCAGCGGTAAGTGGCTGTTTAAATATCACTTACTAGCAGTCGCCCGCGACACCGTCCACGCGGAATTAAAAAAAAAGTAGCCTATGTGTTCTTCCATATGTTCTATATGTATGCCAAATATCATCGAGATCCGTTCAGCCGTTCTAAAGATAACTTAAAATATCCATCCATCTATCGAAACATTCGCATTTATAATATTAGTAAAATTGTCATCGTCAAGATGAAATGGAAGCAGCTAAGATTGATTATATGTACACGTATGTTTAATATTTTGTGTGTGTTTGATCTATAAAGTTTGACTAATAGGATAAGTTGAATGCAATTTGCTTTTTAATACATTTTTATTATTAATTTTAATTAATATCTTCGTCATTACTGAACTAATAATTTAATATTAGTTATAATGCAAATGAGGATCCATTTATCATCAGCTCACTACACATCCCACTGAGGGGCTCGGAGCCTACTCTATGTTAGGGGTGACTAGGCATATAACTGACAAAAAAATGAAAGATATATGTGAAGTCAACCCGCACTGGGCCAGCATGGTTGACTATGGCCTAAGTGAAGATACTTGCCACTTAATTATATTGGTTAATAGATTTCATATCACATGTGACTTCCTCCCAAATCATTAAAAGAGCAAATTAAATAAATTTGTAAACTTATCAAGCATTATGCGAATTTAAATACATCGTACATTTCTGATTATTAATTCGTGAAAATATCAATTTCACGTCGGTTTATAGTCCACTTGAATTAATCAGTTCATCTCGCGAAGCAGCGCCATTAACCTGATTATTATTTGTATAGCTATTGAATATATTTATGAAAACTTTCATTAGTAGAAAATATTTATCCGCAATTTATATATTTTTCAAATATTTTATGAAGCACATTTTCATAATTATACCTACCACTTGTATTGTTTTATTTGTAATTTATAAAAACTCTACATTTTTTTTAATAAAATTTATTACAAATATTAGTTTTGATTCTGCTGAAAAGGATGTTATTTTATACATTGGAAGTCTAACTTGAACCATTCATTATTTTTGTCAAACGATTCTAAACACAAGATAGAAGTAAATCATAAATAACTAATATTTGTTAAAAAACATTGCAGTTAAACAAAAGTGTTCATGGAGAAGAAATGCCTTACGTGTTAGGCATCCCTCTTGGAGGTGCCAACTCACATTTCCATACTGAGTACACTCCCCAAGAAAAATTACTTAGCGAAGTTGTCATGAGATTATGGACTAACTTCGTTAAAAACGGGTAAATATTCGATTACATTTAGCAAAAAACAATATTTTTATAATTTGATAAAAAATTCTGGCAAACGAAATATCTTTATTAATTAAATTGTTAATTACACAGATCTCCAAATACACAAAGCGTTAATGAATATTACTCTCTGGATCGAAAGCAATGGTCACATTACAATGTCGAATGGCCCGAATACACAGAAGCGCAGCAACCATACTTAAAATTAGGTAATTCAAATTTGAGTTCTTGCATTTTTTTTAAGTCCAAAATGACTAACATTTCCCTCTTTAGTTGTATGCATCTTTGTAAATATAATTTGTTGTGAATTTTGCAGACATTCCACCATCTATAAGCAGTTCATATAGAAAAAACTTTACAAAATTTTGGCTGGAAACATTACCTAATAAAGCAAAAAGATATGTAATAGACCCTTTATTTGAGTACACACCAAAACCAACAACATCGAGACCTAAAACTACACATAGGATTATAGGTATGATAATATTAATTTAAAAATCCTCGAGTTATTTAAAAAAAAATGCGCCAGTTTTAATATTTTCCAATAAATACACCCAAGATACGACCCAAGAATTTAGAAGTCAACCCAAAAGTGATCATAAAACTTTATTTCAGATCCTATAAGAAAAATATGGTCACCTCAAATAAGTAATCCACCATACTATTCAACTTCTTATGGTAAAATACGTCCGTTCTCACAACCGGAACATAGACCAGATACGAATATGATATATCGGGAAATACAGTCAATAAAAACACCATCCAGGCCCATTCCGCCCGGTTTAATGGAAAAAGTCACTCACAATACTTATTCGACGACTGCTAAGCCTACGACATTAAACAACATGCCCGTAAAAACTTCCAGCGCGACCGTAACTCTTATTGTTACATTGGGAATTCTTTTCTTAGCTGTTAATGTCGGAATATGTGCTGTGTTATATTTCAAGAAGCGAAGAATTAGATTGCGTGAAAGGACTTTGGAAACAACGCGACATTCTCGTGCCGATATTGGTGAAGTCGATGTTATTGGACAAAAATGTTCCAAAGATGATAAAAGTGCACTTAAAACATTTAAAAATAGTTGTAGCGTTATCAAAACTATTGGTCTTAATAAAATGAGAGGTAGCACAAATAGTAAGAAAAATAAAAAGAAACAAGAACCCTGTAAAACTCCAAAATCTGATGATTCTGGGGGTTTTCGTGAAAGATTTCAATTGAGAAGACATCTGTCTACTAGTACTTTAGACGCTAACACTAAAGTTAGAGATTGGATAGCCAATGAAGTCATGCATAGGTGTTCTCCAAATATACTTAGAAAATCTAACTCAGAATTGGATACCGCTAAAAGCAACAATGTTAGAATACCATTTACAAGATCTGAGGAATTGTTATCAGATGGTAAAAAGAATAATAAAGATGGTTTGAACATAAGTGACAGTGTATCACCAAAGAATTCGCTATCGAAAAATTACCGTAACAATAAAACCAAAACTTCAGAAAAAACTACATCTACGTCTGCATTAGGTTCGCACTCATCAATAGGTAGTAACAAACAATCATTGGTGAGTAAGCATACTGCAAAGTCAAACGATTCACTGAAGAGTAAAGGGACTGATAGTATGAAGTCGAAGAAAGTTTCTGTGGCAATTGACGCTACTCCTGCTGCACGTACAAGTTCTGTTTTAAAACAAGAACCTATAGAATTTTCTAAGTCACTTGATTATACGACGGATGACTCGAGACAAAACAAACTACAACGATCAAAAACTGAAGGCGATTTCAAATGCGAAGGAATAAAAGAAAACGAAAATAAGACCTTTACTAATGTCGTTACATTGTCATTGAAACAAGAAACGCCGCTGAAAATATCACATAAACATTCATCGTCAGATCCCGTAACCGACGTTAATTACGAGTTATTGATGAGGGAGAAAATGAATTCGGGATCTAACGTCTTTGATATTCTACCTCCGGTTACATTTAGAAATAACATAAATGTTACTTCAAAAGACGATGTTCAACTACAACCCTTATCACCAGAGGAATCACTAATGATTATAAAAAGAAGAAATTTCCCGAAAGTCTTACCAGATTTTCCGAAAGCACAAAAAAGACTATCGTTACAACCTACAAATCTGCAAACATTTAGAAATTTTCAAGGGAATTCAGAAAATATTTTCGATAAACCAAGAGTTCCGCCCCAACCTCCACCACGTACTACAACATTGGAACGTCGACTAGCATATCAAAATTCTAAGCCATTTTCTTCGTTCGGCATTAAGACGAACATTACAAATTGTGAACCAAAGTCAGTACAAGATTATGAAAATATAGAATCCCTTTCGACGTGCTACGATGATTTTAAAAACTCAAAAAAATCGTTTGAAAGTATTTACGGCATAAATGAACACGCTGACCATAGACGGGAATACCCAAAAGTTATAATAGCTTCTAGTCATGTCCCTACTAATTCAGATACAAAAATCTTAATACAACCTTCACATAGTCAGGTTGATATATCTACAAATGTACCACGAGTTAGATTACCTGATGATTTTCACTCGCACACAACTGGATCTGTTAAATCATTTACATCTATTTGTTCAGAAGATAACATAGAAGATGAAGAAGACGATTTTCTTGATGATCTCGCTGAAGATAAACTTATTCAAGAGTTAGTGGGAGGAGTGGAATCACCGACTAGTTCAGTAACATTCGATTCCAAGGGACCAGAAACAATATTCGAAAAAAGACTAGAAATCGTACCTGTAAAATTAAATACAGTCCAGGTGATGCCTAAAGAAGATTATATTTGTGTATCAGATTTCTTTCTACCCGGTATTAGTGACACAGAAAGAACGGCAAAAATTAAGCCAAATTTTGGTTTGAATAAGCTCCAGCAACGAAGTGAAAGTATTAATAAGCCTCTGGAAAAAGCTGTCAAGGTAAAGCAAAAAAAGACAATTAATCCTACAGTAATTTTAAACAAAACTTTAAAGAGTTGTAAAAGCGATAGTTTTAGAAATGATCCAACTACAAAACTAGAACATTCTAATTCAGGATCTTCCAATGACACAGAGACAAGTACAGGGACTGTAAAAAAGGTTGATTTAAAACAGTAATCTTTCACAGGATTCTAAATATATGTAAGTCTGCACTGCTAGTGTTACTTAACTACACAAGTGTTGTACGTATTAATTCCTTAATGTACCTAAATTTATAACTAGAGATAGTTACAAGTGATTACTATAATGCATTTATGAAATAAACACATTTATATTCCATAGTTTTTGAATTTGATTTATAACATTTCTCCTCCTTATTTTTAATTTCTGGGAGACTTTTTTGAGTTTTTTGTTTCATTAATAAGCTTAGTAGGTTCTTGATGAAAAACTGGCACGTCAGAAAGTTTAACGACATGTCCACAATCCCTCCTTTTAATGGACGTTCGAGAGGGTCTGTGGCGCAGTTGTTAAGCGTTTGGCCTAACTGGACACGACCTCTGTCCTATACCAATGTGTCTTTTCATATAACATATGTGCATTTATTCGAAGTTCTTACGGTGAAAGAAAACATCATGACGCAACCAGCACATATCGGACGGACATAATTGACGTTCGATACAACGTACCCCTGAACTTTTAAAGTAAACATATTATATTTAGTTATATACGTTACATAATTAAGCTTCTTTATGTCATCATTTTATGAAATAGTATAAAACACAAAATTATGATACACATAAAAGTGATCGTAATAATTTATGGTTACAGCTCGTATCGTAAGGTTGTAAGCGTCTACTTTATGGTTCTTTCATTTTATATGTATTCAAGGTATAAAGTTACAAACACAGAAGGCACACGCATGAATATTTTTGGTGTGTGTTCTGTGTTTACAAACGACGTAACGAAAAGAGCAGATAAAATTAACTTTTAATGCAGGTTTAAGTCTTTTTGAATACATGGATCAAGGAATAACAAATGAAGAAGGGATCGTGCCATTAATTATAATAGTAATTAATCTTAATGCAGAAGTAAAAAACATTGTGACATTTGCTACATTTGATGTTTGATTGCTTACAGACATAAAGTTAAAGTCGGAGGTAGAACAAGTGATAAATGGTTCACCGCACTGTTAATTACATTGCAAATGTTATTTATGTGAGTGAGTCGTGTTTGTCGTCGAGAGCGGTTCCAGTAATAAATGCCTTGTTTTGTGGAATATCTGTTTTCTAAGTATACAACAGTAGTTTCGCATAGTGATATTTTTGGCACTACAATGTAATTTTGCTCTAAATATTTTGGTAGTTATAATTATCATGAGAATAAGTTAGAAAATATTTCAAACTTTTAAGATTGAACTAAAAAGTATCAGGAAGGTAAAACACGAGAGAATTTTATGTTTCAAATGTGTTTATTACAATTCAGGTTCCTTTAGTTTGTATTATAAGAATCATAGAGTTAAATATTATTAGCAGTCTTGCAGCTATTATAAAAGTGGAAGATTCTGTGGAAGGTCTATACAAGAGAGTAAAGTTTGTGGCAGTGGTCGAAGCAGAGACGCCGTGAGCATGCGGCGAGCAAGTTTTAATGATGCTCTTGAAAACTTAATATTGCGAAGATGAAGATAATTACGCGCCATTAAAGTACAGCGACTTTTCTGACTATATTTTCATTTGACCTGAAGTTTATTTTTCATCGTTGCAGTTTTCATTGAATTTTTTACTATAAAAGCTTGTCAACTAATGTTTTTTTAAGATTTATTTCTGTAAAATTTATAAGTAATCAGGAAACAGGTCTTTAGAAATATTATTTAATTAGCTATTTCTGCATCTGGTAAAGATATCGTAGCAACTACTTCTAAAGAACATTTTAACTAATAAGTTTACATAAAAGAAGTAATGTTAGTATGAAAGTAAGTCATAACGTCAGCGTAAATTAAAGAATTAAAAAAGGAACGAACAAAGTTAAGGAATAATATATTAAATATGATCTTAAAGAAACGGTAATTGTATGAACTTCAGTAAACGATTATTTTGAATAAGGAAAAGGTGTAAAATTAAGCTGAGAAAGGTATTTGAGCGATACTTTATTAGTCTCAACGGACATAAGAAATGAAATTTACGACAACAAATTGCAGTTAGCTACTGGAAAGAAGCCAAACTCGGAAAGTGCTGAATACTTTCCGTGTGATTTCTCGCCTATTGTAGCGACTCAGGTAACAAGAACTGAGAAAGTTAAAAATGAAAATTATAACTGCATAAACAGCTAAGAGATATTTGAAAAAAGAATGTGCAGACATTTAATTTGATTTTAAGTTTTGGTAACTTTTGGATTTCAGTAATTATTGGCTAGTTTCTTTGGAATTATTTTTTTCTTTCACACTACCATGCTCATCACCACCTCAAAGGCCGGCATCTGCGATTCCTCTAGAATTGCTGATGTCCATGGGCATCTCGGTGTTCCCGCTGCTCGTTTGCCCCCTTCTGTTATAAAAAAAAAAACAAACTTAATACTTCAGCTAAAGGTTTCTTATCGTAACCATAAATGGGGAATAACCAGACTAAGCCATATATTATTTTGAAATGCCTGAGAATATCTTGCCTGAGCTAAAAACCAAACCCAGAATTTTTACATTTAAGTTTTTCTGCTAGTCTACGAGATGAACTTGACAAAAAATATAATTTCACGCAATCCTTGTTTGCTTCTTTCTCTCGCAATGGAGCTTATCTTGCATTGGCTTATTTGCAGTATCTCTTAGTGGGAGATTTAAATCTTAAGTTGTGTGCGCTCGCGTAAAAAACAGCAGCGATTTTATGATATTTGCAAAATTTTTTTTAATGAAAATTTAAATCCCTTCGAAACAAAATCTGTAAACAGATTTCTTTATTCTTATTACTCCAAAAAGCAGGAAAATGCTATTCTTATTATTAAAGATTAATAATAGCCCGCGACTTTGTCCGTTCGGATTTAAAAAAATCTAGTAATAAATGCCAAAGGCCACAGTAAAAGATTTTTTTTTTAATCGGTTCAGTAGTTTCGGAGAGTATTCAAAACACAAACAAAGATGTATACAAATTTATTCTATTTATTATATAAGAATAGATCAATAACTAAACGACGTAATGGTATTGTTCTTAACACAATAAACTTAACAAAAACAAAAATCGTTTAGTTTAAAAGTGAGAGATATTAACAAAGAAAAATTCTCAACCAACGAAGACTGGGCTTTAATAATAGAAAAAGAAAGATACAACTCCAAAGTACTTAAGAACTGTTTTAAATATTTTATTATTTCACTTCATAACATTCTATTTGAGCTATCGTTCCTTAGCGAGGATAACATTGTGTTCTTATTTTCCCAGGTCCAAATTAAAACACTGAAAACTGGTATTGCAAAATAAATGAATCTTATTTTCACAAAAACATGACAATCACATTTCTATTTTTAAGAGACATTTTGGTTTTATGATTTCATGTTTAAATAAAAAGAAGTATTATTCTTTAATTTAGAAAGGAGACAGAAACAAGTTAGAATGACATTTGTATCCCTATTTTATTTCCCTTAATTTGTCAAAACCATTTTGCTCAACATAACAATTCCATCGCATGAAAATAGTCAATTATCTCGATCAATCAATCTTGGTTCGACGAGAATTTTCAATTCATCAATTTCCGTTCCAATCGACGTCATAACTCATTCCCTTCAAGTAATGAAGAGATGCTAATAAAGGATTCACCACTAAAGGAAACCGCAACTACGGATAGAAAATAACAAAATAATTTTATAACATTATTAAACATCGTAATTTGGTTTAATGGTGTGTTTTTGGTGCTTTTCTACCAATAACATTTGTAATTCCTCTGGTCGTTTTGGGGAAAGACAAGGTTAACTGAGATTCCTACTCACTAAAATTCCCTCGGTCAACCTCAAGTGTGATTGCAAGGTTCCCGGGATCTCCAATGGAACGCACCTGGGCGCTCTATACTGAATTTCTGCACAACTCCAGGAAACATACATACTTCCTCGTGCCTTCAATCAGTTTGGCTTCACGTGACCGCGCCATGTTGCCATCTTCCCGGGACAGATTGTAGTATAATCTAAAAGCTGATATGTCTGGCTTCATTAAATTACTTCTTGTTTAGTTGCTATCACTATATTAACGTTTAAATAAACAAGAGAACAAAAGACCGTGTGCAAGTTCCTCGTTATTGTAAGGAATTGTAAACATGATGAAACTTGCACAACTTTCAAATAGGCCTGGCTTAAACAAGACATAATGTATTCAGGACTGGTGAGGTAATGTGCTCGGGTCTAAGGGATAATCTGTTTACTGTTCAAAAGATATTTTACTACGACATTAACATAGACGAACGTATACGAAATTACCACAACAAATTGCTCCAACATCCTTTGCACCATGAATATTTTGGACATGTTCAAATTGTAAGCTTTGTTATAATTTTGATATGTTGGTGTTTAGAACTTCGAATATTTTAAGCAAGTGTATGAGTCATTGTTATAAATTTATTTTAATAAAATCTACACCATTTTATTGAACCTATTTTAACTTTTTCTTTATCAATATTTTATGAAATTAAATTTACTCGGGTTCGAGGCGTTGTGGTTATTTTCTCATTTATTTTCGTAGTACTTCTGAATCAAGTTCAAAAGCCATTTTCGCTGTGCCAGTTGGGTCGTTGAATTTCCATAAACGATCACCTAAAGTAACCTATTTTCTACGCAGGATTTACGGACCATTGCTTTCAAAGTCACACGTTTCACGACTCTTTACACACAGTAAACGGAGCCAGCCTTTTTTTAGTAACGACACAAAATGGAAGGAAATAAAAACCATTTGGTTATTGACACACGTCATACTTAAAAAATAACTTGAAAATAATTGTAAACAACTATAATACTGTAACCAGAACTGTACAGTCAGCTGCAAAAATATGTATGCATTTTGAAATCATTTTTAGAAACTTGTTTAGGCTATTCGTTTAAAAAAACGTATGAATGTATTCGTCATTAACATGTATTAGATATTTGGAAGCATATGGATGCATACGTGCATACATATTTTTTAAAGGTTTATACAAGTGTAAGAAGATTTCAAAATGTGTACATATTTATGCAGATGACTATACATTAGAGTGAATGTTTATTCCTTTGTAACTCTAATTTCATTACCATAACGTGTGGTCGCAATAAATTGAGGTTTGTACATAATTCGCTTCGGCAATAATTAACAATCTAAACGG